CCCACACACACACACACACACACACACACACACACACACACACACACACACACACACTCACACACACACACACCCCAAATAAAAATTTCTAAGGGGGCGTCGCTGGAGAGATGGCTCGGCAGTTAAGAGTGATTGCTACGTTTGTAGAGGACCTGAGTTCAGTGGCTAGCACCCATACTGGGTGGCTGGCAGTGACTTGTAACTCCAGCTCCAAGGGATCCAATGCTCTCCTCTTGCCTCTTGAGATACCTAAACACACCTGGCACTCACTCATATAAATGCCTGCATATAAACAAAAATAATAAAAAACGAATCTGTAGGGATGGCAGGATGGCCCAGTGGTTAAGCAAGAGCTGTCTGCACTTGCCCAGTATTCACATCAGACAGCTCACACGCCTGTGACTCCAGACCCGGTGGGTCTGCTGCCCTCTTCTGGCCTTTGTACTCACCTGCACTCATGTGCATGCTGTTTCCTCCTGCCCCCATAATTTAAAAAAGTAAAATCAACCTTTAAAATGTTTTTTTAAGCTTTAAAAAATTTAAAATGGATAGTAAAAAAATGGAATGTTATTTGGAACATGCTATATTATTTATATTTGGATACACAAATCTCTTTTGCTTTTGATTATGACACTAGTATCAGCCCAAACTAAAACCACAATGAAAGAGGAGTTTTTTTTTTAATTTTAGAAATAATAACCCAAGTTGATTGAGTTAGCACCTAACTCTCCTAGCTCTTGGGAGGCAGAGGCAGGAGGGTCACCACAAGTCCAAGGGCTAAAAAGGGAGATGGTTTCAACAAACAAACAAGTAAGAATTAGTAATTGGCTTCTGGGTGTGGGGCACATGCCTATGGTCCCCGAAATTGGCAGGCAAGAGCAAGAAGGTGGAGAGTTCCAGACCAGCCTAGACTACCTATGGGACCCAGACAAACAAGCAAACTAGAAATAGTGGTTGAAAGTCTAATGTGCGTAAGGGCCAGAAGAGATGTTGTAGATGACGTCAACTGATGCTGCTCATCAAATCCCTCCTCCCACATACACACACAACACACTTCCTTTTTTTCTTTCTTGACACAGGAGCTTAGACCAGCCTCAAACTTCTGATCCAGACTAAGGAAACACATTTTAACTCTAATTTAAGATGGCATTTCTGGTCTTTCCTTTTCTTGGATCCAAAATATGATTGTTTTGGTTTTTAAAATCCCTTCTTCCACATTCTATATTAGTGGAATAAACTAAGACTGTGTATCATGGCTAAGGATTTAGTTACCCTTAGGCAGACAGCCACTTGGATAACCCTGGCATGTGCCTGTTGGTAGGTACCCAGAAAGACCTAGAAGACTACTCAAAAGTGACTGGGGCTAGAGGGGCTCATTCTGCATGCTGATGTATTCTCTCTCTCTCTCTCTCTCTCTCTCTCTCTCTCTCTCTGTGTGTGTGTGTGTGTGTGTGTGTTCTCTCTCTCTCTGATTGATTTTTTTGAGACAGGGTTTCTCTGTGTAGCCCTATCTGTGCAACTCACTCTGTAGACCAGGCTGGCCTCAAACTCACAAAGATCCTCCTGCCTCTGCCTCCCGAATGCTGGTGTGCACCACCACTGCCTGGCTTTATTTTCTTAAAAAAATTAAACAAAAAAATATACAGTTAGCCTTCTATATCCGAAGGCTCCTACCCACAAATTCCCCATGCATCCAATCAATCATGAATTGTAAAAGTACATAATTTTTAATTACTGGGCCAGACATAGGGACTTAAACATATAATCCTAAAATGGGGGGGGGAGAGGGGGACGACAAAATAATGCAGGGCCAGCCTGGGCTACATAGTGAGACTCTTGTCTCAAACAAGAAATTAAAAAGCAAATAAGCAAATTGCTAGGGCAATTATAGTGAACACATACAGAATTTTTTTTTATCATTATTAGGGGACACTAAATAGTACACTTTAACAATTATTAACATGGCACTTACATTGTGTTAGGCAGTGGAATCATGCTCTGAGGACTCCAAGGGATGACACTATTAGTTTTAATTTCAAGAGTAAATTCAATTACACGTTTATTTACAGAGCTAAATTGTAGAGTAAAAAGAATGATTGCAGCCGGGTGGTGATGGTACATGCCTTTAATCCCAGCACTTGGGAGGCAGAGGCAGGCGAATCTCTGTGAATTCGAGACCAGCCTGGTCTACACAGCAAGTTCCAGGATGGCTCCAAAGCTACACAGAGAAACCCTGTCTTGAAAGGGGGGTAAAAAGGTCAAGAAAGCTCTTGAAACTGAGTTCCCAAGGTCAGGTGGTATCAAATGGGACGGTGCAGCTAGCAGTTTAGTGGCCCTGGTGGGAACTAAGGGGTTACTTATCTATCAGGCTACTCAGTTCACTAGCCTGTGCCTACATTGAAAATAAACTAGTAAAGACAAGACTGTCTGGAGTCTTGACTATTGTTTAGTGTTTATTTACAAACTACTTCCTGCTACCGGTTTGCTATTTTCTCCAGCAAAAAGAAAGATGGGAAAGAAGGAAGGAAGGAAAAAAGAAAAGGAAAGAAAGAAAAGAATGGTTCCTCATTCAATCACATCCCAGCTTCCAGCCAACAGAACAAAATCATTGAGACTTCCAGCAAGTTACTTCAACCATGGTGTCGTAGCTGCTTTTCTTTTGCTGTGCTAAGCCACCGTGACCAAGGTAGAGTATAGAAGAGTTTACTGGGGGCTTAGAACTTCAGAGGGTTGGAATGGAATCCATGGCCGTCATGATGGGGAACACAACTGCAAGGAGGCTGGCACAGTGCCAGAGCAGGAGCTCCCTGGGTTTGGCTTGCTTTTGAAACCTCAACCCAGTCCCCAGTAACACACCTCCTCCAAGGAGCAACACCTCCTAATCCTTCCCAAGCAGTTACACTAACTGGGGACCAAGCATTCAAACACATAAGCTGATGAGGGTCATTCTCATCCAAACCATCACCAGGGTGACCCTCAGTTATGGTTTCCTGCTGTACATGTTGTGAGACTTGAATAGTAAGACTGTTCATTTGTTCCTCGGCTTCTTCCCTTCTCTGGTGGACTTTGCTCCCCCAGCCCCTTCCCAGCAGCCTCTGGCTTGGTGTTCTCTTTGGAAACCTGTGACTGTTTCCATCCGCTGAAATTGTAGCTCTCAGTCTTATCCATCTACCTTGATTTGTTTTGTGTACACAGTGTAAGAGGTGTTGTTTTGTTTTTTTGTTTGTGTGGGTGTGTATGTATGTGTGTGTGTGCACATTGTGGCACATGTGTGGAGATCAGAGAACAACTTTTGGGAGCCACTTCTCTCCTTACACCACTGGGTCCAGATTAAACTTGGGTTATCAGTCTCGCACAGCAAGTGGTTTTACCTGCTGAGCCATCCCACTGCCCTAGAGGTTTCTTTATTTTATTTTATGGCATGAGTGCTTTGCCTGCATGTATGTTTGTATGCATGTATGTTTGTATGTGTACATGTCTGGTGCTCACAGGGACCAGAAAAGGGTACCAGATCCTCTGCAACTGGAGTTACAGACAGATGTGAGCTGCCACACAGATGCTGGGAATCTAACCCAGGACCTGTGGAAGAGCAGCCAGTGTTCTTAACCTCCGAGCTATCTTCCCAACTCCAGGTTGGCTTAATAACAGGAACAGAAAATCCCAGCTCAAATCTCTCTGCCACTCAGGTGCTGTGGGACTTGGGGATGAGGATTGCTCAATGTGTCCGGGGAGGCAACAGAAAATTTCCATAACTGTAAATGGGAATCATTTTTTTAGTTTCCGGAAAGATTAGATAAGGCCTCTGGCATGTAATTCGGACCAGCTACTGGTCTCGTTGCCTTTCTTTCCCTTCTTTGTTTTGCTCTTGAACCCAGTTTTAGGAGAGGGAGCATGGTTCAGCATGGTAGGGCTGCCTCACCTGCAGAACTTTTAAAAGGAGGCAGCCTGGCTCCACCCCCTGGCGAGTCTGATTTAACAGGCCTGGGAGGGGCCACACATTGGTTAGTTGTTGTGCTGTTATTATGTCTTTAATAGACTCCAGATGTTTCTAGTGAGGTTAAGACTGGAGGAGTGCTGATCTAGCCAAGAAAGCAGGGTCTAGCACTTGCCAGCAACTGGACATGCTTCCCTGAACTTCACTTCCTCATCTGCAACAACTCAAGAGGCTGTTGTGAGAATTCCGTTAATCAGTGGATATAAAAATTGCAGAACACAACATCAAAACAGGAAAGAGAGAATGAGGCAAGGGCAAAAGAGGCTCCCAGAAATCCCAAAATGGATACCCTTGAACCCCAGG